TTACAGCTGCACGGTGGGTCTGGACACTCAAATTATTCCCAGTCTTCTCCTATGACTGGAGACGTGCTTGGGCTAATTGCCTGAATTTTTCCTGGAAGCCAAAGGTAAGGGAATACCTCCTGAGCATCGCGTTCCCCAACCCTGCAAACCGTAGGTCAGCTTGACACCACTAGAAAAGAGCCACATCACCATTTGAAATTGTCTGCATATGCTAGAGCAGCTGCTGTTAAGCAACCCAGATGTTTGGCCAGTTTTCTGCTACTGCAGTCATGTTGATCACGGTGAAAGAGGGCAAAGCACTGCTGATGGATCAAATGAACTCAAGTCCTCTCCTATGACTGGAGACGTGCACAATTTTTCTTCCTGGAAGCTAAAGGTAACCCATGCCTTCTGAGCATCACGTTCCTCAACCCTGCAAGCAGTAGGGCACCATGGGAAATAGTGCCACATCACCATTTTTAAATGTTAAGCATATGCTACAGCAGCTGCTATTTAGCAACCCAGATATACGGTTAGGGTTAGGGTGCTGTCATGTCGACCACAGTGAAAGAGGGCTAAGACAAAGCACTGCTGATGGGTTAAAGATAAGAGAGCCCTAATTGGCCCAATGAAATGTGTTTTTGATCACTGAATCTTCTTCCCTCGTCCCTGGCTGTTCCCTTGCTTCCGGACGTGGAAGCTGCTGTGAGTCATCGCTGCCCCTCAGTTGGTCTTTGCTCTCCCCTGGGTGCCTTTCATTGACAATGGCTGCAGGCTTCAGGAGTTAATGGCACATGGGAGTCAAGATCGCAGGAGGCCTCTGGGTGAGAAACACAGTCACAGGTTCTGGAGGCTTCCAAAGGTTCAGTAGTCGCATCTGACTCATATCATGAAAGACAAGCTGTGCGCAGTCCTTCCTGGGATTTTCTATGAGTTCCGTTTATTTGTTTTTGTCTGTCTTTGGTGCTCAGATGTGGTGTTTCTGCACTACACTTTACAAAGATCACTTGTCAATCAGAGCGTATGGGCGCTACGATTGTCTTTGTCCTTGGATTTTGTGTTGACGGACTTTTGAGTTTCTGTATGCGTGCCTTTGTTCGTCTGTACAGCCAGTGAGGTTATTACAGCTTTTGCGAAGTATTCCGTTTATCTTCAATTTTTTTCTAAACTCACATTGAAAGGAGCTGTCAGAAGCATTTCAAAAGGACACTCCCTTGTGTTTGTCAGTACAATACTTCCAAGGTCAATGATTACAGTTTGTCGCCATGTAAAATCGTCCAAAGAAGACTCTGATCAATTGAATTGTGCAGGCTCCTGGCTCTCTGATGAATGTTTTTGTGCAGTGTCACACTTCAACACTGTAGACAACTTCCTAAATCAAACTTCAGTAATTTGGCAAGCTTCTCGCAGACACATCTGCCATCCTAATTTCTAACTTCCATCTGAGTACCGGATGACGACAGGCGGAGGAACGGTACGGAGGTCAAGACGCGGCGGACGGCGGACGGCGTTGACCAGAAAGAGCATCACAGCTCATCCTCGGCAAACGCTTGTGTCACTTGATTGACAGGCCTCCAGATCTAACCTTCACCAAACTGTGTCGATGGCAGCGGTGGCGGTGCTGAAGGGGGTAGTGCTTGTCAGCCCTGTTGAGCTTCATGCACTAGATCCAGTAGCGTCACATGCCAGTCTCTGTGAAGGAGAAGTTAGTAAGACAGTAAGGTTAGAGGGTGGCCCGTACAGTAAAGTGACCTAAAGTGTACATTGGATCAGTAAAGGTCTTGTTTCGTCAGTACTTATTCAGACCAGGATTGGCCCACTAAGAAATGACATTGAAAGACCTAAGGAACTATTTTTTCCTTGCAAAATCAAGATGTGTAGATAGGAAACTTTGCTAACAAGTTCACCACGGTCAAGATAGAAGATAACATGTCAGTGTTACGTTGGCCCTCAAGCATGGCTTGTTAGTCCCTCACCGCTCACTACAAAAGAAAAAAGTAGCTCCATTGTATTTTAATTTAAGCCCTTGACTGTCATTTGAAATAGCTGAGCAGCCAAAACTACATTTTCCACTTACAACTTTTTTAATAATCCGCCAACAATTTCTTTTATTAGGAATAATTTATATATAATTCCTGTGCAAATATCCATACTTGAAAATAAGTAATATTTAGCTCGACAGAAATCACAATGGAAGCAAAAATAGGCCATCATATTTACAATTGTGTTTGTTTTGTGTAATGAGATTATTGAAATATTTTATCAAACTGAATACATGTTATTCAAATACCTTTCTTTAAAATGTCCATTAGGTAATTTCATTTTGGACAATAATATATTTTTTTAGGTTCATAAATTAAAGTGTTTAATGCCTTGATTATTTGTTCAAGATTGATCAATTCCAATTTGAAAAAACGTATTTTCCTGAAAAATCTGATTTTATGAACAATACAAAAACATACTAAAGGGTTAAAAAGCTTTTTGAAATATCACAACTTGAAATTGCAATACTGACTGGTATTTACATTTCAAAATGAAGTATTCAATAACAGTTAAACCATAGGGACAAGTTGCGGCCCAACACAGGCACTGATGTTAGTAATCTCCTCCAGAAGAAATTACTTGTATAAGAAATCAGAAATTGTGTTAATGTAAATACTGTCCGTTTTTTTCAACAATAGAAATGCAATTCTGACCCAAACTGTTATGTTTTGATTTTTTTAAGATAAGATTTGTTTAATGTTAACTGTATACAAATATTGACTGTAGCAACAAGCCCTATTACTAGATTTAGCTTTCTTAACCTGTCTGACCCCACCCTTTTGAAATGCGACTAGACAGAGGTGGTTGTACCGACAGGGATTTGGTGGTGGATTAGTTAACTGTCTACAGTTGGTTAAAAAGGAAAATTGGACGAGGCACGTGCAAAAACAATGATTATCAGCATAAAATTAACCCCTTAACTCGACCGCTCTCTGTTGCTCATTGGTTTCCAATCATCAAGAATGGTATTACCATTTCAACCACAACGTGTGAACTGGGAGACGTTCAAGAGCCGAACCAGTGCTCCACCAAAGCCTCGTTTCCAAACGCTAGCCTGTATTTGGCCAAGCCCAGCTACCAGACAGGAGACATAAACACACCATGGCTTTAGAAATGGAAATCCACCAGGCCTGTGAAATGTTTCAGCTCTGATCTCACTCTTTCCAGCATCTCCCCAGGAGTCACACCAGGGGCGTTCAGCGGGGGAGGGGCGCAATAGTGACCTTTGAAATGTCAAATCAGACCTCTTTTTTTTCTTTTTCACATGGCTTGTATCTATGTAGTTGAAGACATGTCATACCAGTACCAATACCAGTTTAGGTGCTGGGGAAAAAACCCATATTGTCTGGGCTGCGCCCCCCAGCTACTGTGGACCCTATTTGGCCCAGGGTCTTTTTTCCAGCCGGGTCGGGGTCAGTGTTAGGCTTTTTTTGCCTCATGTCACTGAATCATCCCAAGGGTTACTTTGAGGTCGGAGGGTGAGGGTGGGGGGGGGGGGGTGGTAAAGAGGTGCAATGAGCTCTTTTGAGAGCCGCCGTGATGAGTAATGGAGCAGGCTTGTGAGAACCAGCATTGAGGGGGGGAGTTTGTGGTTAAACATGAGCGTGTCGCCACATACCATGGTGCCTTTTCCCATCAGTACCCCCCCTCCCTGCAGGGCGTAGACGGCACATTCCATATCTATCAATAGATGAGTGAAAATTGATGGTTTATGCGTTTAAACAGATAGCCAAAACCAGTTAGCTGTTAGCATTTAGTGATTAAATCAGCCATGTGCTGTTCAGCTGAAAAAAGTTGTCAGAGCAGGAATTTTGTTTAGGTTGGGGCAGTTTTTGATTTGTAAAAATGTATTTCAGAATGTTTTATTTGTTAATATACATATATATATATATATATATAATTGATTAATTTAAATGTAATTGTTTGCAACAATTTTGGCTTTTTTTTTTAGAATTCTTTTATTTCTAAATATTTGAGCACGTAATGATGCACTTGATATTTGTGGTATTTTATTGTCATTCAGGTAAAAAATACTATGCCATAGCAATTGTCTTTTATGCGCTTTTGACCACTTATTTATCATTCTGCTGGCATTACAAGAATGTATGAGTAATGGACGTAATAGAGATGTTTCTCTGAAGAGCTGACTGAGACACACTTTCACACAATGTTAAGTTTCAGTAACTCATTTAAAAGATGGAAATGGATGGTTTATAGCTTTAACAGATAGCCAAAACCAGTTAGCTGTTAGCATTTAGTGATTCAATCAGCCATGTGCTATTCATCTGACTGAAAAAACACAGGGGGGATTTTTGTGTCGATAGCTTTGTGCAGCTTTTGATTTAAAAGATATTTCAGATTTTTTTATTTCATTGTTTGCAATAGTTTGGGGATTTTTTTTTATAATTCCTTTTTTTTAATAATATTTGATCACATAATTAACTTGAGACTTTTGGTCTTTCCTCTAAGTCAGGTAAAAAAATACTCAGCGTTTCTCATTTTTAAATTGTCCTGCTTTTTCATGAGCTTTTTACCTCGAAAGTGTCATTCTGCTGGCATTACAAGAAGGTTTGAGTATGAGTAATGGAGTAATGGTAATAGAGATGTTTCTCTGAAGAGCTGACTGAGACACTCTCACACTACATAACAGTTCAGTAAGTCATTTAAAAGACTTTAGGAAGCAACACAAGTCTGTGAAAATCCGCTAACAAATGCTACAGCACCCCCTACTGTTGAATGTGTTTGGAATGTATGTTTAACTTCCCATTTGTTTGATTTAAATAGCATTTCAATACAGTCTGGGGTGGTACGACAGTAAAGATGGATCATACTATCACACAGGTCGTCTGTTTGTTATTGTTCATCACTCATTGCAGCCTACTCAAGATTTTATGATTCTGCTGAGAGGAGCGCAGCTGTAGTTACACAGTGGGACGGTTTGAACCGCAGGTGGAATTTAATAAAGCAAACTCGTAATATTGTTTCTTCACAGGGTGCTGGAGACAGCTTTATTGGAGCGCTGGCATTTTACATGGCCCATTATCCCACAATGCCTCTGGAGGAGATGGCGTGCAGAGCCAATCAGGTGGCAGGAGTGAGCGTGCAGACTGTTGGCACGCAGACATCGTACCCCTTGAAAAAGCACCTGCCAGCTGAACTGTTTTGAGAGCAGCCAGTAAACACCAGTGATAATGTAACAAGTCTGAAATGGACCTGTTTGGAAACAAATGTTTTATATAAAGCCGATTCATTTTACTTTCAAAAGTGCATGTGTGACGTTGGTAAGTCTACTTACAAAAGAGAATCTCAATAGTTGTTAACAGTTTAATAATTGATTAACATCTTAACACATAGCTTGTACTACACAAAGTTGATTAAATGTATTTAATTTTTCCAAATAGTTAATATTTAACAAACAGCTGGATTCAGGTACTTGGCTTACATGTAAAGGTCCTAAAAACCTTATTGAACTGTTATCAATGATACTGCATAGCCCAGATTAATGGCATCACTTTTACACACGAGTTGTAGTTCCTTCTTGAAGATTTTCAGCCAGGCTTGCGTCACTGGTGCAGTGGGTTGGAGGCCTTTTGACAGATCCCATAGGAGACCCTCTGTTCACACGAGATCCAGCGGAACAGAAATGTGGACTGAGGAAAAACTTTGTGTAATCCATGTCAATACAAAAAAAGTCAGTTTAAATCGAGCAGGATCATGTTGTCCATTTATTTTTGGCTGCTTATTAAATCGATTTGATCTTCCTCTTCTCGAAGAATAGCACGTGCTTGTTCACTGCGAAGACATAAAGAAGAAAAAATAAGGTTAGAGTTCTCATGCCATTTTAAAAATAAAATGCAGAACTACCAGGATTTAGAGAAGCTTAAAATAATTTAAAAGAGAGAAGCTTCAATGTGTGGAAAAACTACCGTAAAGTAAGAAAATATTCTGTATTCCTGCCAAATCAAAGTTTATTTCTATAGCCCAATATCAAAAAACATGATTATCTCAGTGGGTTTAACAGATTAAAAACAAACAACCACATTGTAAACAATACAATTACAGCACAATTAAAAGACAAGATAGTGTGTCCAATACAAATTTAAATTAGAACAAAATATCCAAGTATGCTGGACATTGGAACAGTCCTTCGGCGGCACTCGATGACGTAGTATGCCTCAAATAGTGGCTCTGGAGCAGCTTTACTCGACATTGAGAAACACCCCGTCTGTCTCTCTGAGGAAGTTGGTTCCAGAGAAAGGGCTTGGTGGGTGAACGCACTGACTCCTGATCTGGTTTGAGGACTCTGGGCCCCACTAACAGACCTACCCTGGCAGCGTGATGTTCTAGGGCAATAGTGGATTAAAATGTATTTTAGGTACGATGGTGCCAGACTATTAAAAGCTTTGTAGGTAAAAAGAAGTATATAAAAAAATATATAAAATTCTTACACTTTTAATGACCCATGTCTATTCAGAAATCTCAAGACCTTGACATTTTTATTTAAAATGTACAAACTTTGAAGAATTTCAAGGCGAGAATTATTGAAGTTACACAATGAGATGACATAAAATTACAAGGAATACATCATAATACAGAGAATGGATGTGGATGGGTTTGTTTTAGTGCACAATACAATTAGATTTAGAAAGCAAACTGTCCTGGCCCCTTTTTGTAAATCAACAATTTACTGCAATTGTTATCAACAATTTAATGGATTCTAATAATGAACCCCATATATATCAGGTTATTGTTTATAATACATTACAGCTCATCATGATATTTGAACTGCATCTGCGATGGGGACGCTGGGGACCAATTTTTTCCACACCACTTTTTAAAAGTATAACTTATATATGTTCTGAAAATAGCGTACACAAAGAGATGTAATAAACAAGAACACTGGTTTAGTGTCAAGATGTGCAGAACATTGCTCCCGCTGTACAGCAGCAGGGCAAAGGCACTTTAAAAAAAAAAAAAAAAAAGACAATGTAAACTAAAAAAATAATTCCTCCTTACTCTACTGACTCTAAAATGACCCAAACACATGCTTGTTATTTTGGCCGGTTTGTCTGAGGTAAATGTTGTCGTTTTGCTTTATTTATTATGTCAAAAGAAAGGAACAATCTTTTGGGGGAGGATCCCCCCAGAACTCATGCAGGGGCTCGGTTTGCAAACATCGTTTTCACATGTGAGTGCGCATTTTCGTCGCTGTGGAGAAAAGGCGTGCTCAAGACTCTAAAAAAAAAAAGACAGAGATCATTGGCTTCCTCGGTTATTGTCTCCTTGCCACACATATATAATGATCCCTACGAAAACAGTCTGTAGCCTGACTCTGTAAATCCTTTCTATACAGGTGTGCTAGCAAATAGTAAGGAGATTAGTTTGAACAAATGGTCTCCCCACCAAACATGTACTACACCATGTAAGTAATGAACATGCAACAATTTAACACTGCTTTTAAATAACCCCAGAGCCTGCAGGCATTTCCAAAGCATGTTTCAGTTTTCTTCCACAAATCCACCACTGTCTGCCAAATTAAAACCAAGAGGGGTTCTCACAAAATGTATCCCAATACTTTATTTGATATGACCTGGAATTGATTAACCTCCTGCTACAGGTGCTTATGTTGCATTACTAAAAGTCCAAGCAGCAGTTTTGAATGGCTGTGACTAAGGCTTAATAAAAAGGTGTTCAGTGTGCATGTAACATCTGCATATCTTACCAAATGGATCATGTTTGCGCATCACCATTTTGTCCTTGAGACGGCCCCTCTTTGTGTTGAAGAAGAAGCCTGTCCCTGCAGCGCTCATCATCTGCACCAAGACGGTCCTGATGGGAAACAACATGTGTAAACTTATCTCTGCAAGTACAGGGCATTTCCTTACTAAACCTAAGGATATAACACTGAATTTACTAGTTTGACAATTCAAATAGCTCCCACTTACTTTGATTTAGCCTTGGCCACTGGGAAATGAAAAAGAACAAAGGATATTTATTAAATCAGTCAGAGCAATAGAGTAAACAAGAGCAATAGTATGTATGAATGTATTTAGCTACCGTTCAAGTACACTAGCTTACAGATGGTTAGCTTCTTATATAACTCAAGTTAACCGCTGCTACATAACACAATAATAAAAGTAACAACAATTATAACTCAAAACCCTTAAGGTTAAAAGCGTCAATACAACAGTTAAACCCAAGTCAGCAGAAGCAAAGTAAAAGAAACACGATAGCTGGTGTTGACTAACATTGAGAGGTAGCTAGCAGCTAACTTTAGCTAGCATTAGGGTTACTAAACTGACTGGTTCATTCAGCTACGTTTGGGATAGCACTGCATACGCATCCACGCAACGTCATTCATTTAAATACTCACAATTTGCGGCTGTTAGAAACATTTCGTAGGCTTTATACCACTAGACTGACAGCATTAAATCATAACAGTGTTTTCAAGGTAAGTCACATTGGGAAGTCTGTAGTTCCGGTTTTAACAAGCACTTCCGAGTTCCCTTAAAGGCGCATTACAGTTTACAGAATTACATTCACTGACCTTTGTTATAGTCTATCTATCTAAATTATTTATGATGTGAATCTGAGAAGAGCATACCCTTTTGATGATTATGTTTGATTTGATTTTCATATTATTAGTTTATTTTATCAAACACTATTGATGTGGACAAAGCATACTCACTTTTATAATTTTACAAATTGAAAACCCCCCAAAAAATCTAATTAGGATTCCATTGTATAGAAGAAAAACGGGGAATATTTACGGAACATTGATGATGCCTGAAAATCATTGAATGAGACCCCTTTGGCTATTAGTTTGAATTAATACAGTTATAACTGCATACCTTTTGAAAAGAGCCTTCTATGAACTCTGATCCATGCCTTTAGTTTATAACATCCCGACTGGATTACTGCAACAGCATACTTTTTGGATCACCTGCATTCATACTAAAAAAACTTCAATATGTCCAAAACTAAGCTGCCCGCTTGCTCACCTCCACCCAAAACTCTGACCACATCACCCCTATCCTCCATGACCTCCACTGGCTCCCCATCAAACACCTCAACAACCTTGCCCCCCCTACCTCTGTGGCCTCATCCAACGACACACCCCCACCCGTCGCCTCAGGTCTGCTGAAGCTAACCTACTGCAGCCCATCAGGACAAAGATCCGGACCTGGGGTGACAGGGTCTTCGCTGCAGCCCCCCCTCACTCTGGAACTCCCTCCCCAGCCACGTCAGATCTGCCAACACTCTCACATCATTCAAACAATCTCTCAAAACTCACCTTTTCACTCTTGCCTTCAACTCCTAATCAACTAACCCCTCGCCCTTATTCCACCTAGCTTAGCACTTTTTTACTTTTTTTTGTTTTTCTTGCTTGTAAGCGCTTTGAGCACCAGGAAAAGCGCTTTATAAATGTAACATATTATTATTATTATTATCATTATTATTATTATTATTATTATTGAGGATGTATCACTTGCCTCATATTGATGTACATGTACTTCTATGAATTTTTCTATGAACATTAAGTCACATTAAGAATGAAATAAAATGGTTCTCTTTTTCCCCATAGCATTAAGACTATCTTCCACATGAGAGTATGCATATTACCGCTGTAGGTTTGAATTGAATACATTTTTGCATTTGAAAGGAAATTGAACTGGTCTATGCTTTCTGATCATCTCGAGAATAAGACCAGCACATATTGTTTGCTTTCCCATTTTCCTTGTCATTGGCTGTTTTTTATTTAATATTACAGGTAAGGTCTTTGCTGAGAGCATTCAGAAGACTACTATAATAATTGAGAGTGGAGGAGGAAGGTTTTTTTTTTGTTTTGTACAAAGAGTTGGAGTGTCTCCATTTTTATCCTACCAACGGCCTAAACAATGTTATGTTGCAGTAAGACATTGGTGGTTGCCATGAGAGCAAATGGGCATCTGTTAAGAATGTATGACCGAGATAGGATTGGACAATAAAGATGTGGTCATGTAATACTCTTTCTTTCTTTTTTGGCGACTTTGTTACTTCCAAGAAAAACATTATCATTTCCTTCAGTTTTTCAGATTACTTAGCTTCTTCTCATTTCACTGCACACTTCCCACATTTAGATTAAGTCCTGTGAAAAACACATTTATCAAAGCCATCATAGGTCATTCTGTCTCATGGCGTCAGGGAAGCTATTCAGTCCCCATGGATCTGTTCAAAAATGAAAAGATAGGTACTCTTTGGAAGGTCCCAGAACCTAGTCAAATCCTTTTAATTTCCCATCATAGAGCTCAGGCAGAAGAATGGGACAGATACCAATAATGTCCCATTGGAAGTCCCCTTAACTCCTCAGAAACTAGTAACTTAATAGCCTTTTGTGTCATGGACAGACATTTCAATAATAGAATAGAATATAAATCCTTTATTGTCATTGCGTCAGGTACTGAATTAACAAGAAAGCATTCCTGCAATATCACATATCAAACAAGAGATCAAATTGATGCATTGATTTATAGATCCATCCATCCATCCATCCATGCACACATACATATATATATATATATATACCGAAATGAATTGTGGTGCAGTTGGTATGAATCTATAGCCATATCATAAAAGGGTATGTTCAGAATATACAAGTGACATCGCTAACAACTCAGTCCACTTCCATGACGTTTTCCCCTTTTTGCATACTTCGATATAACCTCCAATAGCTTATTTATTTTACTTTATAATGTCAGTTAAAAATGTGTAATATGCAGTAACAGGACGTAAACTCCTCTTCATGTCGTTATACCTCCTAATATTTATTTCCGAGAAGCATTTGTGAGAGCATGACCTCATTGTGATCTTTCAGTCTGTATATTATCATATTTTAATTTGCATTACATCTCTTGTGTAATATTATCATTCACATCATTGTTTTACAGTTTAATCGTCCGTTTTCACTATCCATACAGACCTTTCCAATGTCTTAAAACAAACAAAATTATGCCATTACTGTATTGCTGCATTACTTCTAAAGGTAATAGATCCAACATAAAAACACTGAAGACCATTCAGCTGTGTTTCAAGCATCCGGTGTACTTATGGTGTATTCAGTCTTTATTACGTCACTGAGGAATAAACAATGTCTGAGACAAGTGGAGTAGGAATAATGGACTTTTTTAAATCCCTCACAGTATCTCTTCATCAAAAATAGAAAGGACACCCAGTGAGTGCGCGGCACCGGGGTCCCACTAGAGCATAGATTAGCTTGAAACAAAAAAGGTAAGTGAACATGTACTAATGAGTCTAAATTGAGCCTTATTGGTAAACCCAGTGGGGGAAACCATGCACTAAAGCGGAAATGAGCCTGAATGTTATTGGACGGGCCCGAGGAGCGCTGTAACCAGGCAGGGAGCAGCTGTCAGGATGTGAGTGGAGGAGCTTGCGTCACTAAGGGATAATTCTGAGAAGGAGGCTGAGACCACTAGCTTCAGCTCTTTTCCTCCTCCACCAGCACCACCCCGCCCACTCAGCACTCTCAGCCACTCCGGACGTTAGCTACTCTTTCCATCTCCCACTTTATCGCACTTATGCTCACACTACATGCTCTTTCTTTTCATTTACAATCTATTATTCCCCAGCTTCTTTATCACTTAAGTGCTCAATTCTATTTTTGACACTTGAGCTCAGGTTGAAACGCAAAGTGATACAATAGGTGAACAGGGATGGTTCAGAGGCTGGATTCTGGCATTTTATCACCAAGGAAGCAACTGAAAGAGCACTAATTATTATATCATGTTTATAGATTAAGAAGTAAGCTTAATAACTAATACGTTTCATTCTGTAAAACTACACCTTCACCTGTGCTTCACTTTTTAGTGATGCACAAAGTAGCGTTTTTTTATATTCACCGTTTTGTATTTGCAGTGTTATTTTGTTTTTGCTTTTAGGAAACCCCCTTCGTGAAGTTGGAGAATGTTTTCTAAATGCTGCGCATGTGTTGTCATGTTGGTAAATATGTTTATTTATTTGCATGTTTTTTGACACATTATTATATTTTTTGCATTCTTTTTAAATTGCAGTGCATTTCTCCTAATGGAAGTGTTATGGGCCGTTGTGCCATGTTTGCACCTGTCGGCCACCGTACATTTGTCCCTGGAATAAAAGCAGAATTTAACCTTTTCCGCTGAAGACAAAAGACAGATGTTAGAGGGTTTATTGTGAAATCTAAATACAGTTCATTTTACAAAGTGACTCATTGTTGCTCAGTTAAAAAGGAAATAGGAAATGAATTAACAATCAGATTACTGAAGTTTCCTCATATTGATTTCAACAATTTGATCATTATTAAAATGTTAAAGCATCCGGTGCACAGCTTCACAGCACAGCAAGTACACACAAACACACAGACCAATTCTTATTATATTATTAGCTGTCACAACAACTGTTTAGTGTTCATTTTGACCTGACAACCCGATCGCTGTAGGTGACACAATGACTCACAGACACAGAATCAGAGTCATAATCACACAATGGTTCACAACTCCCCAGCCTGCGTCAGCACCATGCCTAATCATCTATTTATTATACAAAATGAAGGAACAAATCAAAACAAGTAATAATGTTTTGGTCTCTTTTGGACCCCTTTGTCCCCTTAACTATGTCTGTATCTTCACCATCTAATCTGGTTTGACCTTTAAAGCAAGGCAAGAATACCTTACTTAAAAATAATATGAAGTCTCATGATTTAAACATTAGGCAAAATTGAGCCCAGAATCTAACCATGACTGACACTGACCACAGTGCTCCACCTTGTCTCTAAAGACCACGAAGGGACTCAAACCTTAAATCTCCTGATCCGAAGTCAGACGCCTTATCCATTAGGTATTATTTTTTCGTCATTATGAAGTCCCATTGGTTAGCTGCTTGGTTAAATAAAGAAAATCCATTATCAGACCGAGATCTTGAAGAGGCGTCTTGAAGAGGGTACTAGTATCTAGTATCTGCATTAACTGGCCTTCTTTTTTTCTTTTTTAAGCAAGAAAATAACACAAATAATGGAACATGATGTACAACATTGGACCAGTTTTGGATGGTTGATAAGGTGTGACCAAATCCTAGATTGATTAAACTTGGTTAGAGCAGAGATAACTTGAAGGGTATATTGCCAACTTCATAACTGAGAGTTCGTAGAAGTAATCAGATGTGACAGTTAGCTGAATAAATGTTCACCAGTTGAAAATGTACCGCACCAACAAACAAATTGATTAAATAACTTGTAATCACTGGCCATTGGCTTTATTAGCAACCTGCTCTAAACACCTGAATTCATTGATGTTTAGAAAAATAATGGGGACCAAAATGGGGGAAAACATGTAATGTTGGACCAATGTTGGCTGGCCTAAATCAGTTATCATCAGTTTTTGGTTAGTGGCAGTGACTTCCACAATGTATGTTTGAGAGTTTTTTCAACTATATGTCTTAATGGATTGTTTTTATATTTACATTATTATTGTTCAGGTTGTCATACAGTCAAT